TCCATTTCCTAAACATTTTTGAGCACCTGTCATACTCTGGACACCTTGCCAGGTAGTAGGTATAGGAAGACAAAGGTACAGTCCTCGATTGAAAGAAATTCCGGTCTAATGGAGTCAGCAGTCGGGTGAGCCGGTGGTCACCATGCCCTGTGTGGAGCCCCAGCAGAATCGGTACCAGGCTGTTAGGATAGCACCAAAGAGAGGCCACTAACTCAGCACATAGAACCCTTGAGCTGACTGCAGATGGCCCTTCAGGGTGAGCAGGGCTAAAAGGAAGGGTATTCAGGCTCGGAGAACAGGAGGCACAAAGGCAGGAGTTCACTTGGTACATCACGTCATTAGTGTGGTGGGAGCCAGCCTGGGCACACTCAGTGGAGCAGGAGAGGAGGCTCCCGAGGTAGGCAGGAGCCGAGGCTCGGCATGTGGGGCAGGGAATGGTCTGAGAGGTAAGCGACCTGAACTCTTCCCCTGCTCCTACCAGTACCTCCTTAGGTGTCCTCAGGCATGTCATTTAACGGCATTGGGCCTGGTCCTCACCAATGTCTCCAGAGAGCTGGGCGGGATTCCCAAGCCATGTTCTGGGCAGCACTGCTCCAGTAGCTGTGGGAAGGTCTGGAACGGGTTTTCTTTGCCTCAGGAAACTAGAGGAAAACGGCAGTCACTGACACCTCTTCACAGCGACACTGGCGTGTTCAAACTCTCTGAAGAAACCCCTTCAGTTTTCTTTCACTCAGCATTTTCCCAAAGGTTTGCAAATGCTCCATAATATTGGTGTTGGCATTGTGACACAGAGCCCATTTTGGGAAATGGTGTTCAAGGTCTCAGAGGTCCAATCAGCTTAACTCATTCATTCATTCATTCCCTAAATGTTCTTTTGTTTCTATCATCATTTTAAATCCCTTCACCCATATCAAACCTGTCTCTTAATTACCCATCTGTTTTCCCTCCCCACTGCTCCCCTCCCCACCCTTTCCTTCTCTCCCTCAGTTGCTTCAAGTTGAGAAGCGG